AGTAGCTGCCTCCGCCGTATCTCCTGCGCGGAGCTGGGACGACTCCCAGGTTCAGGCCCCTTTTGGAGCGAGGGAAGGCGGCCGTCGGCTCCTGGCGGCCTGCAGCTCCTAAGATCTCCCTCGGAGAAAAGTGGGCCTGAGTTTGTCCCGGGCGGGCAGCCTCACCAGGGAGAACTAAGATCGGGCCTCTGAGACGAAAGGACCTCGTCCTTTCACCCCTTTAAGCCCAGCCAGCAAGTTGAAGGCTCCTAGCCTCCCTCCCTGATTCTTCTGAGGGGAATGACCCCTCGCTGGCTGGGACGGTTTCCCGCAGTGGGGAGGTTGGACTCGGAGGGGAGGGGCGGGCGGGGGGAGAAGGCAGGACTGGGCCCTAGTGTTGGGGATGGGGCCTAGGAAGAAAGACCCTCACCCCGACATGTTCTCCAGACCTGGAGCACGGACCTTCCGCTCTCCCCAGAGCTCAGTTCAGCGGGAGCATTAGGTTGAACTGGCCCCGGTGTCCCTGGGGACGGACACTCGGTGATGGAGATGTCGCTGTAGGCACTGGGGCGACCCAACAGTGGGATTCGGCTGCACCGGCCACCTGGGACGGGTGGGCAGGACGCAGCCTTTTTGCACTTCGGCTCCCTCCCAGCTCGGGCATCTGCTGTCTCAGGCTTTGGCCCTGGGCCAGCGGTGTCTTCTGGACCAACATGCTCAGCCACCACCCTGCCCACTGTTGGTCCTGGTGACGGCCAGGGCCTGCTGCAGGAATGGCTGTTCTTGCTGAACAAACCGGCGACGAGAACTGGCCTTGGCTGCCTGGACAGTGTGCTCTGGGATAGCCTCTCTTCTTGGGGCCTGACAGTAGCACTGGCCGCTGCCCGCCCCTCACTTCCTCCTTGTAGCCCCAGGCCCTAAGCAAGAGGCTCTCCAGGCGTGTTACCTTCCTTCCCTTCCACCGAGGTTGCTCCTCCCTTCGGGGAGGTGGCACACTTCCCGGGGGTCGGTGGCCTGTGCCATGACCAGGTGTGAGGCTCCAGCCCAGCCTGTTCCCTCTCCTCTACACAGCTCCATGTTCTATGACGAGGATGGAGATCTCGCTCACGAATTCTATGAGGAGACAATCGTCACCAAGAACGGGCAGAAGCGGGCCAAGCTGAGGCGGGTGCATAAGAACCTGATTCCTCAGGTGAGGGGCTGGGCAGTGGTCATGGAGCCGATGCCGAGTGTGTGAGGGAGACCCAGACAGGGCCTGCGGTCATGGTGGGGGCTCTCGGGGAGGAGCTGGGAGGAGCAGGAAGGCTTCCTGGGGTGGGGCCCTGAGAGGACCCTCACCCGCCCGTTTCCATGGCAGGGCACCGTGAAGCTGGACACGCCCCGCATCCACGTGGATTTCCCTGTGATCCTCTATGAGGTGTGAGCCTGGGGGGTTTCAGGCCTCAGCACCTCCTGCCTCAGCAAGACACCCTCAGGCTCAAGGTGTGGCTTCCACTGAGGAACTAGGCTGAAGCCACTGTCCTGATTAAACTCCATGGGCCTGGACGCTGCAGCTGTGAGCCGGGCAGTCCCGCAGTGTTGGTTGGGTGCTGGCTTGTCTTCGGATGAGAGGTGGCTGGTAAGGGCGGACAGCAGAGGTACCAGCCTGCCTTCCCCGGCAGTGCCGATAAGGAGCCTGGCAGGGCGTATGCTGGTCGGGGCTGCCTGGCTCCTGTGCCCTGGCCTGGCCTGCTTGCTTCCAAGCTCGCCTGGGGCCCATCCCTACTGGGGCTGCAGCACTTTACAAGTAAGGTCTTTCTTCCAGCCCCTGGGCTGTGGGAGCTGTACACAAGTGGGGACTCCCCTTCCCTCACTTCTTCTACCCGTTCGTTGGAGCATTTCAGCCATTTGCTACCTCGATTCCTCCTCTGTTGGACAGAGGCTGGGGCAACACAAGCCTGATTCTTCATACCTCCCTGCCCTGTGTTCCCACCCCCGGACGGAGGGACTGTTTGCTGGCTGTTAACAGGAGGAGGGACTGGTGTGGAGGCTTCTCCCTCTGCCCAGGGCTGGGCTGACCCCTCCCCACTGCAACTAGTTGCCCCTGGAGTCGTCCTTCCCCTCCCCGCAGTTGAGAAAGCATAGGACGGGATCAGGAAGGGCTCTGGATGCCGGTGCTCCTACCCACCTACTCCATGTGATCTCCCTTGCCTTTTGCACCAGTCCCCACACACACATTGGGAAGACACCACCCTGTGGTGCCAATAGCTCCGAGCCCACCACCCCTTCCCCTATAGTGTCCCCATCCCTTCAGGATCAATCAGGGGAAAGTATTGGAGCCCCTGGGTAGGGACAGAGAACAACCATAAAAGGCGTAAAATGTGAAAGTTTGTAAATAGTCTAGTCCATGACATTGTTGGGGCAGAGTCTGATTTCTAGATAGATATGACTTTTTTTTTTTTAATTCCTTACTGTCCAAGCTCTGTGCTTCCAGAGTATGGGAAGTGGTGTGGGGAGGGTGGCCCCCAATCTAGGAAGGCTGTTGTGTTATTGGTTCAGTTTCAATAAAATTATTTGTAGACCCTGAAGACAAGAGTGGCATCCTTGGGGCTGTGACACCCAGCATCTGGACCGCCACCTGGGCTCAGTGGGTAGGCCTGGGCCCAAGACGCTGGCCCCCCATCTAGAGCAAGGCCAGAGGCAAGCCTGAACCCGGTCTGCAGCCATCCCAGCCATGACCAGGAGGTGGCAGTGTACGCACACAGACCTCACCACAGGATCCCTCAGGATGGAGGCCACTCCTATATTGCTTTCAGTAGATGGTATCCCTGGAATTGAAAGGCCTTGGGAGACTTCCTTAGGGATTGGCCTAACCTGAGGCAAGGATGTGACCTCATATATGTCAGCAGTGCCAGCTGACCCTACATGGAGCCACAGCCTAAACCCTATGGACCTCCAAGGCCCAGCCTTAGGTGGACAGCAGCCAGATGGGTGGCACCACACCCCTGGTCTCCTTCCAGGCTCTGCCTTCCAAGTCCACCTGCCTCCTCCTGGGCTGCCTGTGGATCCCACCAGGAGAGTGGCCTTGGGGCCTCCGTTCCAGCAAAGCTCAGCGCCCAGTCCTGTTACCTGCCGCCTACCCCCTGCCCCCTGTGGACATTCTGCCTGGCTTTCTCAGGGCCTGCTGTGAGGCCCGTTCACTGCTCTGCCCAGCCCTTAGCCATCAGCCCAGCGCCTGGTGAGGGAGAAGGGCATTCAAGCACACAGGCTTCTGGGTTTGGGGAGTTGGCCTGCTCACCTTCGGAGGTCACACTTGGCAGGATCCCACTGCAACCTGGACTTACAGTTCTTTGGGCATCTGCCCATTTTCCCAATAAGATACCAGACAAGGTCCAGTCATCTGCTGTCCCGCCTACTGACTGCCCCAGGCACAGGGTTCTGCCTGGCCAGATGGCACCCCATCTCCTAGCATCACCGTCCCAGTGTGGGAGAACTCACTGTGCTGGGCCCCAGCTGACCCCAGAGCTGTAAACAATGGGGGTCAGGTCGCTGCTTCCCCACACCCTTCTGCTGTGCTGTGCTGTGCTCACTTCCTTCCTGCTGCTGCCTGAGGAAGTGTCCCTACCCTGGGACAGCCTGGCCTGGTCTTTGTTTCCCCAGGGCCTCCACCCTTGAAGCTTTCAAAGCCAGTGTCCCTGTGGAGCCAGCATGGTGGTATAGGGATGCCACCCTCTCATGCCACATCTTGGGCTCCTTGGTCCTCACGGGCAGACTCCAGGGTATGTGCCCACTTCCCCCAGACGTCCAATTTCACAGCCTCTGTTAGGAAGTGGGCCAGCAGGGTAAAGGCTGGGGGAAGGGGTTCGTTCGAAGTGATCTAAGGGGGTGTACATTTGTCCACACCTCGCTGGGGCCCTCCTGGGGCCAGCCACACATGGGCACCTACTTCCCACAGGTTGCAAGGAGAAGTGAGGATGTCACCCAGGAATGTCCTCCAGCAGGAAAACACCCTGCAGGCCGCTCCCAGCCCTTGCCCCCACCACCCGCCAGTCACACATCAGCATATTGTCTGTTCGTCAAACTGAGGATACTTCCGCTCTTGGAAAAGATTGACTCAGCTCCTGGAATTTCTCCCAGTCCCTTCCCAGACACCCCCTTCCCTTCACCACCTACTTAGGGTAACCATCAGCCAAGCATCCCCCGAGTAGTCTGACTCCCCAAACCCCAACACCAGGGCCCTTGCACTCTCCTGGATCTTAGGATGGTCTCAACCTCAGGGGAAAGTTGGGGAGAAGAGCGTTCAGTGTTAAGGAAGCTTCCGGCCTGGGGGAGGCTGGCACCTGATGGGATCCCACAGCCTTCCTGTCGCTTGGCCCAGGCGGCCTGGGCAGGACTGGGGTGGGGGGGGGACAGCCGGCCAGCAGGGCAGACCCGAGGGAAACAGGGTCAAAGCGGCCCCTCCCCCCGCCATTCCTGGCCCTTTCCTCTAAGGGGCAGCAGGAAGTGAGGAGAGAGGGCTGGGGTGGGAGGCGGGAGGAGTAGGAGGGGATGGGGTTTATCAAGTCGCCGGCGGGCTGCCCACTGGGCAGCAGCTGGCGCGAGTCGCTGGACTGGAGAGGCTCTAACCTACGGAGCCGAGGACTCCCATACAGGTGAGCCCCGCGCAGGCGGCTGGTCTGCACCCCGCATCGGTGCGCTCTCAGCTGTGTTCCCTCCCTCGCCCTGGCTTGTGGCTTGCGAGCTGGGAATGGGCTGGTGCGACCCCGGCCCTTCCGGGAGCTGAGCACGGCACGGGGAGCGGATCTAGCAAGAGGCCAGGGGGTCTTGCTCCAGTCCAGCTGCAAGCCCGCTGCCCAGCGGAAGGGGTTTGCGGGGAGATGGGCTCAGGATACCGGGTGGAGGCCTGGGGCGCCCCTCTGGCCGGGCCAGTGTTCTCTGCGATCCCACCAGGACCTCCTGCAAGGGTGGCCGCCGCCTCCTCAGGGTTGAAAGGAAGCCTTGGGGGCTCCCACAGCCCCCACCCTCATCCTCCGAGACTGGGCAGAAGGGGACGGGGGTCCAGGGGCTGGCCCGTCCCTGATGCATGTCGCTGGAAGGGGGGTGCCCTATCCCGAGGGCCCGCTGGCCTTACAGGCCCTCAACCCGCCGGCCAAGCTGAGACCCACTGCTCATGTTGCCAAGACAACCGGCCTCAGCCCAGCCCAGAAAGGACTAAGAGGCAAGCAGGGGGCGGGGCTCCCCTTCAGACCCTGGACGGGGGAGAGGAGCCCCGATCCACAGGGGTCTACTGTCCTGGGAGTCTGGAGATCGGCTCTGGTCACCGTCCCCCTTTCCACACAAAGGGGCCCCCCGGCCGGGACGACACTCGGGTGCAGAGCCAGATCCGCCGCTGCCCCCAAAGCCAGGCCGCAGGGCCCGACAGCACCTCCTCGCGACTGAGTGGGGGGATACCACCTCCTTTATTGCCTCCCCGATCCCCGTCCTTTATGCTGCTGTCCCTTTAAGGGGCTGGCCGCGCCGCGGACCGGGGAGGACTGTACCACCCGCACAGGCTGCGGGGGGGGGGTCTCGGCCTGACTGGCGTTGGGCGCTGAGACTCCAGGAGAAACCCCCGTTCGGAGGGGCCTCACGGCCCCATGTGGGTCGCCCCGTTCCTTGGAGGAGGATCCGGGGACGCTAGAGTCCAAAACCCCGCACTGGCGGCGCGG